TAATGGGAGTATCGATACCAGGAGGGTAGGGGGGAGGTGGGAGGAGAAAGGGGAACCTATCACAATAATCGATGTATAACACCACCACCCCACCCCCCCGCCATGGTGACGAACATCAGAAATATGGGTGAAGGGAGACAGCGGACAGTGTAAGATATGAAAAAAAAATTTATAATTTATCAAGGGTTCATCAGGGTGGGACAGTGGGGGAGGGAGGGGAAAAAAACGAGTTGATACCAAGGGTTAAAACAGGAAGAAAATGTTTTGAAAAGAATGATGGCAACATATGTACAAATGTGCTTGACACAATGGATGTATGGGTTGTTATAAGAAACTAACTTTTAAAACAATGAGGGAAATCAACGCATACACAGACATGCATCTGATCCATCTGTGCTTTATTTCTTAAACACACAGCTACACACACACACCGGCTCCAAAACAAGGGTCAAGCCTAACGAAGGAGCCCCACAGGCATTCCTATGAAGGGCACCCACGGGAGCACTATACAGAAGCTATCATTAATACAGTTAGAGAAACTAGAAATATGGAAGGAAAAGCAGGAGGTAGCACTATCACGATACATGACTGACATTCTTATTAAGCAAAACAAGGAATAAAAACGAATCTATTTAGAAATGAAGTTTTCAGATAAACTGACAATTAAAAAAATATAAACCAAAACAAAAAAAAGTACTTTATAAATTACTCGATCACAAAAGGTCCGATATTGTATGAGACTACCTTGTAAGTGGAAAAAAAACAAAGAGAAAGACGTTCATGCTAAAGGGACTAGACTTTGAGGACTGCCAAGGACGGAGGGCCGAGGTGGACAGAGGAGTCACAGCTTAGACAGGGGATGGGTGCCAACTTTGGTGTAATGAAGGGCAGTAACCCGCGAGAGGGGGAAGAGGGAGTGGTGTGTGAAGGGGAAACTTTTGGGAGTGCTGATTAGCAATTTAAACTGGAGAACGCCAAGTTGATGATCTGAGATGTAACCCCCAAGTTAATTTATAAGTACATGCATACTTTTTTTAAAAAGGTATTTCATATTGAATCTAAAATTTGATGACTGGTCTGGGCTGGAAATACTGATTTGGCACCCGTAGTACCCTATAGAACAGCGGTTCTCAACCTGTGGGTCGTGACCCCTTTGGGGGTCGAACGACCCTTTCACAGGGGTCGCCTGATTCATAACAGTAGCAAAATTACAGTGATGATGTAGCAATGGAAATAATGTTATTGTTGGAGGGTCACCACAACATGAGGAATTATATTGAAGGGTCGCGGCATTAGGAAGGCTGAGAACCACTGCTATTGAAGGATTTATAGCCAAAGAGCAAGGAGAGAATGTAAACGGGGCAGCACTGCCTTCGGCACTGCATTCATTTACTACTAATTTCTCTGCATTTTCACAAATTTCCTTACATCTATGAATGTATATGTGTCCTATCTTTTCCTTATAAGTCATTTGATTGGGGGCTCTTACACCTCTTCTAAGTGTTCTATCTTTTCAAATAGGGTATAAATGACCAGAGTCATGTCACCTGCACCCTGCTTCTGAAGGATTCTCAAACACATGACACCTGATATTTTCCCAACCTTCATCTGAAAACCAGCTGGTTTCAGTGAGAAGATGTAAACATACTCTTGGCTAAGAGTCTTCCTTTTGCATATGTATCTTTCCTGTCAAAGTGACAGAGCCCGTAGGCTTTCGCTCCAAAGGAATGGGCAGTTGCCATGTGGTTTACTGCCCTCCGCGCTGTCGGGAGTTCACGCCCCGGCTCCACTTACCTGTAGGAGCTCAGCATGTAAGAGGAGCGTGTAAGCAGCCTCCGTGTAGTTCTCACAGTCCCGGTGTAAATCCCGAAGCTTATACAAGTACCTGGCAAGAGGCAGACAAAGGAAGGCTATCAGGGCTTGGGAGCTGGACCTAGCGTTCAGCACACTGAACAACCCGGCCCAGCCTGCTCTCGAGCCCTTCCCCCTCTGGTTCCTGTGCAACACAGGTAGGCATCACCGGGCCCACAGGCCGTGTAAGACACCGATACCAGCTCACAGCACACGCCTCACCGAAGAGCAACAGTCTCAACCATCACATTAGGGGCGAGTTCATTAGCTGTTTGCCCAAAAAGAGCAGGTGAATTTTTAAAATGACAATTTTGCATAGCCCACAGATGATGTTATAAAGATCTAAACGGCCCTGGCAGTAAAAAGGTTCCCCAACGCTGTACCCCAACACCTCCTGTTTCTTTAGTACGGGGTTGGTTCCCACCTCTGGGTCCTTCCCAGTCCAGCTACTCCTACGTTCGTACACTTCCACTAAGGAAGCTGTTACACGATTGTTTTCGCTCCTTTGGGAAGTTAATGACAGTTATGGAAGAAAATATAGATACAAGCAGTTTATGTCTGTTTTATATTCGGGCGACTCAGGGACCCCAGGCAAAGAATGTCAGCTGCAAAATCTACGTTGAATGTCCCTCTCGTGGCCAGCCTTCCCCCACTGCTTAGACGAGAAGTCTCCCATGCCTCCCCTGAACCCCAATATGATGCTGCCTGAGTGCACCCTCAACTTGCTTTCTAAAGTTGACCCCTGTGGGGGGTGGCATAGTGTCGCACACACACTCTGTGTCTCTCAGAGCAGAAAGCATGGTGCCGAGTACTTGTTTATTGAAGAATAAAGAATAAATACACGGTATTTGGGGCCCAGATCTGTCTGGGGTCTAACATTTTAACTAACAAAACCATCCACCCTACGAACAAGACATAAGTCGAAGGGGCTGTGATGCCCTTCAGCTGACCTGATGTATATGTCCTCTCTCTTCTTTTCTTTGTAAAAATTCTGCAAAAAAAGAGAAAAAGGTCACAAATACCAATACGAAGCAAAGACTATCGATGAAACAGCCGTAAAAATGGCCAAACTTCTACTTGTGGTTTTCAGCAGCGCTACGTTTCCAAAGAGTTTATTATTTCTTTTAAATAAATATATCCCCACAAGATAAAAACAAGCAAGGGGTGAAAAAGAAGATGAAGTTGAAAACATTTTCTAGGACTACGCTTCTGGGAAATGCCAGCGAAGTTGCTTAGAGAAATAGATACCCGGTTCATGCTCGACGACGGTCCAGACATGCCACGTTCTGAGCATGGAAATGAGGGAGCGACATGGGAGGGTCGTAGTCTCTGAAGCAGAGGAACGCACACAGGAATGATCACTTCTAACCCTTGGAGGTCCGTGGACCTACTTCCCACAAGGGCAGGGAAGACACGACCAGAGAGGTCTACCACAGTGGAGAGACGACCCATTAGCCCCCAAAGCCCAACAACTCCAACTGCTGCGGAGTTGACCCCAACCTTGACAGTCCCGCCTGTCAGTGTAGACTGTGCTCCACGGGTGTTTCAACTGCTGCTTTCTTGGAAGGACAGGGCCAGCCCTCCCGTCCAACTGGGTCGAACAGCCAACATTTTCGTTTTCAGCTGAGCACATTCACCCTCTACCCTTGTGCTCCACCTTCTACTTACAGAATCGTCTTCCAGGCCCAGATTTGTCTTGTGTCTAAGATCTTAAAGAAAAAACCAACTCGCCACACAAACCAGACAGAGAAATGAGGCTGGGATTGGCCTTCAGAAAGACAGGTTAGTGGGGCGCGCGCACTACACTTTGCACGCGTTTCCTAAGTTAGCCTACAGGAGTGTAGCTGCTGGTATCTGTGAATCCATAGCAGTCAGCCGTTCCAATCAGACTCTGAGGGGCACAGAACCCCAAGGCACCTCTGTCTCTGGATCTGCCTCAAGCTGTGGGGCGCCAGCCATCGCAGGGGCTCGGCACATACCAGCACGTTGACCGTGCAGCTCATGCGGTTCTCTTTGCTCTCGTCATGCATGACGATGGTTCTGTAGTCCAGCAGGTTTTCCAGGAGGCTGCTAACCAGGAGGGCAAAGACTTCTCCGGAACTGGACAGATACTTATGCTTCCGGCAATGGTCCAGGAGCCTGGCAGGGCAGAAGGAGAGACAGAGTCCCCCGTGAGCTCTCCTCCCGGCACCCCTGACGAACATTGACTAACGTCCCAACAACAAGCAGCACCCAACGAAGTGCCACAGGATGACATTAAATTGACACCCACCCTTCAAGTCCTGGCCTGGCCCCTGCACTTACGCAAGCCCGCCCCGTCTTCTCTACGTTTTCTTGAAGGTTGGACTCAGGTCCTACCGTCACCCATCATCCGACCTACTCCAACGGCTTCATCGATATTCTTTCTACTCTTTTCTTTTCAGTCAGTATCACAGAAATGAGAAGCTTTGCTCAATAGGTCTGTACCTTTATCTGATGACCCCGGTCAAGGTTCAGGAAATCTTATTTTTAAATGGTCTTTTCCCTAAAGTCTGGCACACGTTACCACACACGATGCCGCATATCCGAGGTAAGTTATAAAGACATGGACTGAAGCAAAACTTTCCGTCTAAATATTCCCCATTGGGTCCAGACAGAGAAAATCTCTGCAGCTTCTTCGAGGACAACAATTACAAGAGAACTTGGTATTACGCAATGACGCCAGGCATACCTACTGGAGCAACCAACACCTATTACGGATAAAGTTTGTCACCGGTGCTATATAAATGCATCATCTCATTTAATCCTCACTACATCGCCAAAATATATCAAAACAAAACACATCAAAACGTAGAAACCTCACTATCACAGAGCCGATTCTACGCATAGCTCGCCTCGACAGGGCAGTGGAGCTACCCCTGTGGGTTTCTGAGGCTTCCAATCTTTACAGGAGTGGAAAGCCTCATCGTTCTCCTGCAGAGTGGCTGGTGGGTTCGAACTGCTGACCTTGAAGTTGGCCTGTAACCCACGCCACCAGGGCTCCTCTATCAAAAAAGAGATACGATTACTGGTGGCGGTGAAGTTCAATCACTTGCCGAAGGTCCGAATCTTAGAATGAGGGGAACACAGGATCGGAAGCCTCAACCTCTTCCTCACTCCAACAGCCACGGGTTCCAAACCCCTGGGTTTGTACTGTTACTTCACACGTGCAAAGGAGCACTCCAAGGGCAGGGGGATTCAGTGCGGGTCTGTGGGCGTGGAGGGTGGGGGCTGGCAGCGATCACATGAGCACAGAGGGAGGAATGAATATCTAGGCTTGGGGGGGCGGCAGTGGTGGTGGTGAGAAGACTAAGCTGGCTGGAGAGGTCATTGGTTGGTCCTGTACCGGGAAGGTGGTCTTCATTCTTTAAAAATAAACGGACCTTGAAATGTTTTTGCTTCTCCTGTGAAGTGTTGTTTGAAAGCCATAATTAGACACGCTAACGCTTTTGTTAGACTTCAGGCAATATGCCACCACTTCATGCAGCGCCCCTCTCCTCCACCTGTTCTGTTCTCCAGGGTCAGGCTTGCCCGGAAGACGCGGGCACTTGATTCACGTCAGATCCACAAATGTCCACAGTGCAGTGGGTGGTGTGTGAACATCAGCAAGCCCACTGAGGACCACTTGTCGTGAGGACCCCAGGGATTCAGAGACGACCACATTTCTTCATAAATGCAAGCGAAGCCCTATGTCTCCCCATCACTAAACGATGCAGGCAACTCGAAGTTTCGTTGGGTCTCTACAATACTCACAGTTTTTCCAGAAGAACTTTGTATTGTTCATCTCCTCTGCCCCCTTCCACCTCTTGGTCCAGCTTCGTAATCAACTCATTCTCAAACTGAAAGCAGAATCCAAATCTTACCAGAGCACTGGCCCTCTGGCCATGGTTCTGGGACTTCTAGATCGAACCCAAGCCCCTCTACTCAATTGTAGAACCTCTCCAACAGAGCAGAGGACAATATCATATTTCATGCCATTCCACAATAACAAGGGGCTTCAAAAGGCTTGTGGGAAAATGGAATTAAAAGACAATGAGATTTTTACCATGGCTTTTGAAGCCCCCTCCAAAAATGTCATGGGAAATTTTTATAAGGATTGATACAAGGTTGCATATCCCTTGCTTTATACTTGCCAAAGAAGCAATTATCCAAAACATTACTTCCATTTTTTTCCGGCTCCAACGATATATACACAAAAATACCTTCATGATTCTAGTTTTTTCCATCTTATTTTTGTTTCTTGTCTGTCTTGGCAACAGACTTGCTTTTACCAAGCCTCATACGCTCCAAGTCTTCCTGCCCACTAAGCACTGCACTGAGTGGGTGAGGAAACGGAGGAGTGAAGAAGACAGAGCAGGCAAGCTGGTTCTCAGAGCTGGAGAAACCAGAATAGCCCTCACTCGCTGTAGCCTGCCCTCAGCCGCACTCCAGCGGACAGGCTTTCCCTCCGTCCACTGCACGGTTCTCAGCCACACTGAGGCAGACGGCTAAAATGCACAACGACAGCCTTTATTGTCCAGCAAGAGATTGCTGCTTTCAAAAAGAAATGTCAGGGGTAAAAAGTAACCAAATGAGAAAAGCTCTTCCAGGGGCTGGTTTGGGCAATCTGAGTCTACTGCTAGTGGTGGTACAACATGAACTATAAAAACCAGTCCTTGGGTTACCTTTTGACTTGTGTTCCTTGTCTGATGACTTATATGATAGAAGTGACTGTTTCCAGGGGAGAGGGAACCTACGTGGGGGTTCGGGATGTACGCATTCATCAGACCACCGGGGTGACCGGTCCTTACCATATGGAAATTGCCATTTCCACTGAAATTGAACTCACACTGCATCATATCAAAGAAAATGGGGATTGTGGCTTTCCGGAGCTCGACTTCAGGGGTCAGAGTGACCTCCAGAATGGGGCCCACCATGGAAGGGATGAATTTGATTTTGTGGGGACCTGGAATGAAAGGAAGGATATTAAAACATATCTATCACTTTGTATGGGAAGTGCTACCATAGTCCTCCCACGGGGCCTACAAGGAAAAGAAACGCTTCCACGCACAAATGAGCTCAATCTGGACGTCCGTGACTAAATACGGTCTTCTGAAAACGTGTGGGCGTCACACTAAGAGGCAGTTCATGATGAATGTCCCAGCTGAGATGAGGGTGTGAAATCCACAAATTAATTTGAGAAAGTACTCTATTTTCACCCCCCAGGCATGCAGGAAAACAGAGCTCAGGGTTATCTGAATCGAAATGAAAAGGACTTTGTTGTGGGATGTCTTTGTCACCCAGGAGCTATGCGTGGGCCTGTCTGAGGTGATCCACTTACCCAGGTTATACCACATGTCGCGGATTCTAAAGCCGATTTCCTTCCGCATATCCCCATATCTAGGAAGAAGATCAGAAGGCAGACAGAGATGCAGAGTGGAGACGAGCACATCCACTCAAATAAGAGGACTGAGAATCAGCCTGTTTCTCTAGGTCACATGGGAGCCTTAGAGACGACGCCAGGTTTGGAGGCCCTAAGAGATAGGAAACTAAAAGTCCAGCACCATCGAGGCGACTCTGGCTCAGAGCTTCCCTAGAAGGGGTTTCCAAGGCCGTACATCTCCACGGGAGGAAGCAGCCTCTTCCTCTGTCACCGAGGGAGTAACTGGTGGGCTTGAACCACCTGTTTGGGGGTGAATGGGCCAAGGCTCCTTTGTAAGGATGAGGGAACCACCTAAACAGGGCATGGAAGAGAACGGAGTCACCAGAGAAGAGACAGGGCTTTCACTCTGAAGAGGGGTGGGGCGGGGGCAAATGCAGAGCCCATAAAATAACCGAGATGGGATGAACACAAACTTGTGTGAGGGAGAACCGTTTCTGACCACTGGCGCGTGAGTAAGACAGAACAGAAACGATGACTAACGTACAGCATACATACTCATGTGCCTGATGCAGTACAGACAGGGTGGTTTTATAGACTTAC